CGCACGTGCAGTAGCACCCTAACCGCAACACATGGGAATGCATTACCTGGTGGGTGCCTACCTGTATGCCAAGTTTCAGCGAAATCGCCCCAGTAATTACCGAGTTACTGAAATGGGAACAAATTTGACACCTCTTATTGTTGTATTTTGCACGTGCACTGGGGGTGACCCACATGCATCGAGAGTATCCTATTTTGGGTAGAAGGGATGCTGCTACCCTATAAAATTTACCGCAAGTCAATCGCCCAAGCGGCTGCTGAGATATGAACCTCTCAAAATCACCACTTTTGCAAAACAGCTTGAACACCCTTGACTTTTCACGTGGCACGTGCCACGACGGTCACTGAGATGTATCAAAAGTAGTCAATTACGGGGTAGAAGGGATGGGGCTACCCAACAAAAAAGACCGCAGGCCAATCGGTCCAGCGGTTGCTGAGATATAAGCCTCTCAAAAGCGTTACAGGCCGGGCCGGGCCGGGCCGGGCCGGGCCGGGCCGGGCCGGGCCGGGCCGCTCATACTGAGATTTTTCCGTTATATTGAAAAGACTCACTTCGCTCGCTGCGCTCGCTCGCTCGTAATTAACAAAAAAACAAAAAAAAAAACGCGCCACTAACGCCGCAGCATTATAAATTCAACAGAATGACAATAAAACGCAGTTTTGAGTGAGGTGGACAATAGCAAGTTTTGTGATATAAAGAGGGCATCAAAATATTAGGAATCTTCTGTAAAAACAACAAAAACAACACCCAAAACCAACATCAGCACCTACCCACGCTGCTCCTCAAGACGCAGAACCGGAAATTAGAGACCTACGTAAACAAGCAGCTGACTGTTCTGAAAGACAGGATAAAACACCTATCCGTCGATAAGAAATACGATTTTTTAAGGGGAGGCGTTTAACCCAGGGGTGCGTTTTCCCCACAGTTACCCTACCACCCTAAACTGGGGGTAGGCGTTTTTGGCCACGCCTGCCAGTTTTTTTTTTTTTGCGCGTTTAAGGAAAACCGCGGCGCGCACGCCACGAAACTTGGTATAGCTTATGATACCTCAATTTTGCATCGTATTCGTGTGTGGAACTTTTGACCCCAGGTCACCTAAGGTCAGATCACCAGGTCAAGTAAAGCAACCATGCCTCTAAAAAAATTGTCACTCATTCCTACAGTTTACATCCCCGAAATTTGAAACTCGAGCTTTTGCATGAGGAAATCAATATAGGAACAATTCGTATATCTCAAAGTTTTCGCCTCGGTGACCTAATGTCATGTCAATTTTGCAGCCTCTCCACTTTAAGCAATTGGGAGAAAATTAAAATGCTCTTCTTTTGGCTGAAAACAATAGCGGCGGAACACCTTCAATTAAGGGGGAGGGGGGAATGCCGATTTTTGGTCCCATTCTTTCCATGCAACGCCCAAAGGGCTTATGTTAAAATGCCAACATCACAGGGGGGGGGGGGCACGGCCTGCCCCGGTGCCCTCCCCGTTCCGCCGCCTATGACCGAAAACACATTCAAACACCGTGACATAGGTAAAAATGGCACACGGAACCGGGAAATTGCTTCTGCGACCACTTCAACGCCCCTGAGGTCATCTCAGGTCATGAAACATCTTCCAACAGTATTTTTTAACTTTAGGTAGAAACATGCTAGAGCGCTGAAAAGACCATGGATGTGTTCAGCTCAAAAATACCAATCGAATGACATGCAAAATGACCTTTTCCGTTAGGTACCTTGACCGGGGTCAAATTTTCAAGTTGACCTTTTCAGGTCAATTTGTAGACCATTCGACGCATCTCGACGAGACAAAGGCAATGCCGTTAAAATCAGCGTCATACAAGTTTTGAGTCAAAAGTTATGATACAAAAACCTTTTCCGCAAAAACGCCAACCTGGACTGGAAGCTAAATCGTTCACCTTAGGTCAACCGAGAACATTGCTCAGAAAGGTCTTTGAAAGAGCTATCGAATGCGCTTTCCCGCAGCACTGCAGCTCTATTGGTTCCTGACTTATGCGCTGATTTGTGAAAAGATTCGTGAAAATTTTACCTTTGGTGACCTCCAGTGACCTCAGCGACGACCTGATCGAAAATGACAGGTCTGAAAGATACTCTAACGAGCTATCTGTTGCTTTTTATCGCGTCTTTCTAGTTTGCTTACTTTCCGAGATAATCTGGTGTAGCCAAAAAGCCCTGCACCACCACCACCAAGGCAAAGTGGCTGAGAGGCCCACCCGGGCGCTGCCTTAACCCTCGCCGGACCTATTGGTTTTCTACATACGCGCCGGCCGAGGGGGGGGGGGGGCGGGTACGACCCCCCCTCGCCGTTTCGCCCCTGGTGGAGCTAGCGCGTCGCGGAAAAAACGAGCGTGTGCGCCGTTACGAGACGCAGAGATTGGTACCCGATTTTAAGGTCCTAGGTCAACCGGTGACCTCTGAGGTCAGGTCAAGTGCCCCAAGGTACGGTTCAGTTTTTGGTGAATAACTTCGCAAAAAACGGCCGCAGAGCGCCGATTTTGGCAGCATCGTGTTCGTCTCGCTCAGGCGCGTCGAATGATATACTTTTTGTCCGGGTCAGGTCAACTTGGGGTGTTGACCTCAGGTCAAGGTCAGGTCAGCACCCCCAGGTCACGAAGTTGGTCGAAAGGGGTCATGTCGCATATCATTCGATTCGGCAGGTCTTCCTGAGTCCATTGGTGGCTTTCCCGACTCGCTAGCTCAATTTGATCAAGAGTTATTGACGAAAAACTAATATGACCTTGATGACGTCATAAATGACGTCACGCAAGGTCAACATTGCAAAAGTGACGCATCTAACCTTGCAAGGAGTGCATAAAATCACGATTCTGTGTGCTTGAGATAGTTGGAGATCGTTCCCGGCGCCAGAATAGCAGTTTTCATTTTTCCCCATTGACTTATAATGGTGAGGTCACGAAAATGACCTGACCTCATATGACCTTTAGGAAAAATCCGAGATATACAAGTTGTGGGACTCATAATGGATACTAGATCCTGCAAGTTTCATTTCCCTGTGACATCTCCTCTGGCAGTGAGGGCGTTGCGAAGTTGCGACATCTGAAGACCGTGCAGAGGTTCACTTATGACGTCATAGGTCAGTGACCTGACCTGACCCAAAAATGCGGTTGGTGTCAAAAGATGCGGCTTGGATCAAAGGTCAGGTATGCCAAGTTTCAGCTCTCTATCGCCAGTGTGTTCGGAGCTATCGCGAAAAAACCCTATGGGGGGGGGGGGCGGCACCCGCCCCCCCCCCTCGGCCGGCGAGGGTTAACATAACATCTATAGTTTTTTCTCCGTTAACTACATATTACTCTTCACGTCGATTTAGAGACAATATTTGGCTATTTAAAGGGACCCTCCCACCTTAACATTAGATTTGAGTTGAGATAGCCAAAATGGGGTCCATGGCTCACAATTACCGGTTTCGGCACTCACAACATCGAGAAATGCCTTAAATCGGAAATATTGAATTTCAAAATTGCAGCATTTTGATTCAGAGGGGCTAATGCATAGGAATACCCCTCTGAATGTGTGACGTCAGCGCAGATATCTAACGATTTTTAAATGTTTGACTAAAACGTTTTGTAGCACGCGGTGGTATATGCTGCTTTGCGCGCAACAAATGCCGCACTTTCAAATAAAGTCGCTATGGGAACAGCGGAGATCCCAAAAAGTAAACAAAAGTAAAAGTCTAATATCTTGAAAACCGGTGAATATTTTTCGATGAAATTTGGTAGATATTCGTTTTTGCTCTTTCTGAACCGAGCGACATCACTTTCATGCCAATTCATTAGCTTTTTTGAAGGTGGGAGGGTCCCTTTAAGCAAATTGGGGAGGTCGTCGATTTTCACTGGGGACGGTCCCCAGTAACCCAAAAGTTACTGGGGAGCGGGGACCGGTCCCCAGTGCAGTGGTGGTTACGAAATGCAGTGGTGGTTACGCGCCTGGGCCGCTTTAAAAATGTTTAGTGCAGAGCAGAAAAACTACTCCCGGGGGGGGGGGGGCATCCCCCCATGTGCGGGCGAGGGTTAAGGTGGGATGGTCACTTTAAATATGCATTATTCAATATTCATATGCATGCTACTTAGTGCTTATTCTTCATAATTTCAAAACACGCGACTGAAAAACGCGAGCAGAACCGAAACTCCGCAACATGCAAAATACAGGGTGATTCATAGCCGTGTGACCGAAAATAAATCAAAACTACAGGAAATGCATTCGTGTTACATGCCATTGCCAAGTACCATATTAAACAGCCAAATCTGAAGTTTTGATCCATGTATAGCATCAGTCACAAATACTTTTCGTTCGACTCTCACAAGCTTCTTTTAAACAAGATGTTCAAAATGGCCACCTCGGCGACGGATGCACTCCAGCGCCAGAGCCTAAAGTTGGCGATGGCGCGGACGCACAACATTTCTAAGGAAATAGAACCAAAGCAGCTTCCAATGGCATCCTTCAGCCCCAGAATATCTTGGGGACGCTCTTCATAGACCTCGGACTTTGCATAGCCCCAGAGGAAGAATTCCACGACGCTGAGCTCCGGCGAGCGTGGCGCCCACCTGACCTCAGCGCTCTTTGAAATCAACTTTCCGGGGTTCGCTTACCATTTTTTTTTGTGCCTTGTTTAACATTGAACCGTGCCCTCTGCTTTGAATTGATTAACGATTCTATGACTTTGTTAGCTTCTTTGGAGTTTCCCTTGGCTGCAAGCCCTCAGACGTGCAGAAACATCTTTGTGTTTGCTTGATGGACTGCGTTAACCTATACAAATTACACATTTTTACTTTTTGCTGCGCTGTGTACATCTTGAGCGATACACACAGACCAGACCAAGATAGAACAAAACTTCATAAAATTTTCTACTAGCGCGTGAAATTTCACACGAAAATATGCAATCCTTTTCTCAAGAGAGATCAACTAAATAGGTCACATGGCTATGAATCACCCTGTAAATATCCCGTCTTGCTATGTTGCTGTGAGCTGTCATCTTTTTCTGCTCAGTCATAATCGCACCGCATCTCGCAATTACAGACGTGCGGACGACCACATCAGAGCCGACATTATAATGTCACTGGCGTGTGCCGGCCCCTAAGCCTTCCGACCACCGCCGGTGAGGCACGGAGCACCAGCAATCACACTGGTTAGTAACAGAAACGGACAAAGCAGGGTCGCACAGGGTCAGACATGACCGCACCGGGCCTGACCGGCCATAGCCAGCCTGTAACCGGCTCCTACCAGTTACTACACAGCAAACTCAGAACCTCTGGCACGCTCCTTCACAATGAGACTTGCTTTGAAACCTTAACGAATGCCCTCTAGCCGCGTCATGTCCCGAAAGATATTCGCAGCCGCGACCCCATAGCGATATAACCCAGCAAGCATCGTCTTATGTTGCGAGTCCAACACCACCCGCCAGACTGGAAGGGCCGACCACGAGCCGTGCCTGCAGTCACCAGAGCGGCGCGCCGTCCCGCAAGAGCAGCAGCATTTCTCGCGCCGACCGAAGCCTTGAAGACCATGGGTCGGCCGGAGGAAGCGTCTCCCGAGTCTGGGCAGCGCAGCGACGGCGGGCGCCTGTCTGTGCAGCTGGCGGCGGCCGTGGCGGCCAGCCTCGCTTGCGGCTCCAACGCGTTCGCCATGGGCTGGGGCGTGGTGGCCACCTGGCAGCTGCGGGACACCGCCGAGGGGGCCGGCAGGGATCTCCGGTTCACGGACGGTCAGCGCGCCTGGCTCAACTCGGCGCTGTTCCTGGGCACGGCGTTCGGCTGTCTGCTGGGCGGCCGGGTGGCGGCGCGCTTCGGGCCGCGGCTGGCGATGCTGCACTCGCTGCTACCGCTGGGTCTCAGCCAGGTGCTGGTCGCGCTGGCCAACAGCGCTCCGGTGCTGCTCGCCGGGAGGCTGGTGATCGGTCTGACCAGCGGCATCTCTGTCGGCGTGTACATTCTCTACATCAGCGGCACGTCCTCGCCGCGGTATCGCGGCGCGCTGACCGTTCTGGCCGACGTCATCTGCCTAATGATCATTATCGGCGTCATCGCGCTGGGCGAGGTGCTCGGCTGGCGCTGGCTGGCAGCCGTCTGCGCCGCCGCCTCTGTGCTTCCTGCCGCCACCATGCTGCTACTACTGCCGGACGACCCCGTGTGGCTCCTCAGCTGTGGCCGACTCGCCGACGCCAAACGCTCGGCGGCAGTCCTCGACCTGAACCTGGAGCTCTCTGACACCACCACACTGGACGCGGAGACTTCTGATGGCTGGAGGCAGACTTTGGGGCTTCTAATCCAGCGCAAAAATCTGCTCCCACTAGCCATTGTGCTAATGCTCGTGCTCTTCAACACTTTCTCCGGCTACATGGCAATTCTCTCATACTCGCTCGAGTTCTTCCGCATGGCTGGCTTCCAGCTGGACGCGGCGGTCTGCTCGATTCTGTTCTGCGCGATCCGCGTGCTGGCTGTCCTGCTGACGTCTTCCCTGGTGGACCGTCTGGGCCGCCGCGTGCTGCTGGTGTTCAGCTGCGGCGGCGTCTCCGTCTGCTACATGGGTCTGGTGGCCTACTACCAGCTGCCGGCGCTGCACCACCTCACCGCGCTGCCCATCGCGCTGATGCTGAGCGCCGGCTTCGTCTACTCGTCGGCGCTCGCCTGTCTGCCGTTCTGCCTCGCTGGCGAGATGTTCCCGCTGCGTATGCGGCAAGTGGACGGGGCGATAGTCATGTTCAGCTACAACGCGTTCAACATGCTGGCAGGACAGGCGTTCCCGCGGACACTGGCGGCGCTGGGCGCCGGCGGTCTGTTCCTCACGCACGGGATCATCATGGCTCTGGCCTGCGCGTTCACACTGCTGGCAGTCCCAGAGACCAAGGGCCTCTCGCTGGCCGCCATTGAGACGCTGTTTGACAAGGGGAAGCCGGCGCCAGCCCCCGATGGTAGCGAGGAGGTGTCCCGGGGACACAGCGGCCGTTGCGACGTGTCTGTCATTGCCTGAAAGCTCGCACTGGCGCACAGGTTTAGACCAGAAATATTGTGCTGTGCTAGGTGACGTTCGTTACTTTTATTGCGCTGTTTAGGTATGTTCTGCACCGAATGAGGGTTTCAGGGTAGGTGAGTGGTTATACTGCAGTGATCGCTTAATAAAATGTTGGCAGATTAATTCTGGTCGAGCGTCTGCGGGCTTTTGGTATACTATTATGCTATCGCTAACCCTTTCTTAACCCGCGCCGGGCCGGGGGGTGTTTGAACACCCCCTGCGGTTTTTCGCAGATATCTCAAAAACGGCGGCGCGGAGCGCCGCCGTTTTTGGCACACCTGTTTGTGCATCTTTTCCGCACATGTTGTGAAAATTTCAGACCCAGGTCACCTTAGGTCAAGTCACCAGGTCACGCCAAGTGACCTCACCTCAGAAAAAATAAGAATGCTCGTCATAGCTATACCGATTGATCGATTGCCTTGAAACTTTCAGCGATTGATAAGAGCAACATTATCTATAAAATGTATATCTCGGAATTTTGATATCGGTGACCTAAGGTCAGGTCAATTTTGCGACCTCTCCATTATAAGTCAATGGGAGAAAATTGAAAAGCGTCTGTTTTGCACGAACGTTATTCTAGACACTCTCAAACATCGAGATGTAGGTAAAATGGACTCACTGAACCGGAAAATGGCAACTGTGACCCCTCGTTATGTCCCCGAGGTCATCTCAGGTCACGAACAGAATCTAACAGTTTTTCGCTAATAACTTCTGATAGAGACGTGCTAGAGCGCTGAAAACGCCTTAGATGTGTTCGGCTCGACGTTGCTGATCGACTGATATGCAACATGACCTTTTCCGGTCAGGTCATGACCTTGACCTGAGGTCAAATTTTCAAGTTGACCTTTCAAGGTCAAATTATAGTTCATTCGACGCGTCTCGACGAGAGGAACACGATGGTGGCAAAAGTAATGTCATGACTCTTTTGAGTCAAAAGTTATTGCCAAAAAAACGTTTTTCGTCAATGGGAGAAACTTTGACTTTGACTCTTTTGAGTCAAAAGTTATTGCCAAAAAAACGTTTTTCGTAAAAACGGCTATTTTTGGAGTTTTTGCCCCCTGGAGGCTAAACCGTTGACCTGAGGTCAAATCTGAGAACATTACTCAGAAAGGTCTGTAAAAGGGCTATCGAATGCGCTTTTCCGCGGCGCTGTAGCTCTATCGGTTCCCGAGATAGCCGTTGGCAGTTTCCAAAATGTTGAAATAGTGCACATTTGACCTTTGGTGACCTCTGGTGACCTGACCTTTGACCTGACCCAAAAAATGACCGAAGTGTTTTCGTCCTTATTTCGGACGTTCTTTCGATTGCCGCTTACCGCGTGTCGCTACGTGGCCCAGGAGCCGAGTTAGAAGGGGGGGGGGGTGTTCAGACACCCCTCCCCCCGGCCCGGCGCGGAATCTCAGAGCACCGGCCCGGCGCGGGTTAAACTGTGCTATTCCCCTTGAAGGGGGGTTTACTGACATCTCGGAGGTCAAAGCACAGCCTCTTTGACAACTTCGGCGTCAATGCTGTCTGCGAACTCCGGAACTGTCGTTCCGTTTCAGCTCCCGAACCCCAAAATCATTTTTGCGGATCTTTTTCGGATCTGCGAGAGCGACTCACCATCCAAAATAATAGTCCAGCGGTAGGTAACAGATCGGGAAATCGGTCGCCCAACAGTAGCGGCGGAACACCTTCAATTAAGGGGGGGGGGGGCACTGCCGACTTTTGGTCCCATTCTTTCCATGCAACGCCCATAGGGCTAATGTTAAAATGCCAAAATCAAAGGGGGGCACGGTGCCCCGGTGCCCTCCCCGTTCCGCCGCCTATGTCGCCCAACCCGCACAATTGAGCTTCAAATGTAAAATGGCCATAAAATATGCATCACACTACCCTAGCATAGTTGAATTCATATTGTGACCCTTAGTGACCTGATTCTGTGACCTGACTTGGTATTAGTGACTTCATTAAGCAACATATGTACCTATTAGGCAACCAACGCCCTATCGATGATATTCGATAACATGCCTTTTACTCGATGCTATAATGCACTCCTTAGAAGGCCTGTAAACGGTGAAAATCTTTATCTCGAATCGATTATCTCGATTATCTCGAAAACTAAAGAATCTAGAAAGACGCTTAAAGGTAGTGTGCCAGCTTTCCTGGACCGTATGGAGTTAATGGCCCAGATAAGGAGAACCGGATTTTTGGAACTTATCCATACCTTCAAAACTCATGGAAACGTCTTAAATTCTTCAAATTTTGAGTACCCCAGTGCGAAATTCGCCCCGACGGGTTGTCGGTCGTACCCCAACCACATTTCACACCACTATGAACAATAAATGCACACACTGAAATCGCTATTACCGATATGCTCATCCAATCAAGTTTCGATAAACCCGTCGTTCATCATCATCTCCTGCGGTTTCGAACACGCCTATTAGGTGGTGCGGTAGACCGCGCCCAAAGCCAGAGCCCCGGTAACGTGAGGTAGCCGAGTCGGGGCAGCGTGCGCTGACCCAAGCCGGGGCCGCGCGTCCTCCCGGTGTCATGTGATAGCCCGGGGCTGCCCGCGGGGATGCGGTAGACCGCGCCCAAAGCTGCGGCCCCGGCTTGGGTCAGCGCACGCTGCCCCGACTCGGCTACCTCACGTTACCGGGGCCCTGGCTTTGGGCGCGGCTTCTGCTCATACTTTGTGGTGCGGTGGTGGTGCGTCGGGCCGCGCGCTCTGACTTCGGCCAAGAAAAATGCGTCAGCTGATCATTGTCATTTCTGCCACTTGCGTGTGGTGAAATGGGGTCTTAACTTAAGAGACGGCTTTTTCATATCAATTATTTTACATAAAATCATATTTCAAACCATAAATAATGTTCGACAGCCAAATAAAAGAAACAATACCAATACAGGCTTACAGTTTAAGGCTGGACATTGTATAATAACACGGAACAAAAATGATAGACGAACGCGTTTCGGCTAAATCACCGTCATCAGCGTCTAAAAGGTTTCCTTTTAGACGCTGATGACGGTGATTTAGCCGAAACGCGTTCGTCTATCATTTTTGTTCCGTGTTATTATACTTGTCTCAACTGAAATACGCTCGACATTGTGTTGTCTACGATTAGACAGCTGATAACTCATTCCCGTACGTCGTAACTCTATAATGACCTTTGCTTATTGTCACATGTGCGCCGCATTCGCGATTGTTGCCGACGCCTGTTTGCAGGTGAGCCCACTACAGTTGTTATACATATCGAAAAACCGATAAACTTTTAGGCGAAAAAGGCACTATTTCAGGCCCATTTTGATTTTTTTTGCGATATTAGGTAAAAACAGAAGCTTCTTATCCTAGGAAAAATAAAATGGGAAATCTTTCAAAGGTGGCACACTACCTTTAAAAAGCAATAGATAGCTCGCTTTAATAGCTTTCGGAACTAACTATGAGTTCTTTTTATCATCTCATCGCTGAGGTCACTGGAGGTCACCAAAAGTAAAAATAATGCGAGAATTTTCACGATTTTGAAAACTTCTCACAAATCGGCGCAACTCGGGAACGAATAGAGCTACAACGCCGCGGAAAGGCGCATTCGATAGCTCTTTCAAAGCTCATTCTGACCGATGTTCTTATAGGTTCAGTGGTTTAACCCTCGCCGGCCGAGGGAGGGGGGGGGGGGGAGCGGGTGCCGCCCCATAGTTTTTTGTTATAGCTCCGAACACGCTGGCGATAGAAAGCTGAAACTTGGCATACCTGACCTTTGATTCAAGCCGGATCTTTCGACACCAAACCGCATTTTCGTGTCAGGTCAAGTCACTGACCTATGACGTCATAAGTGAACCTCTGCACGGTTTTTCAATGTCGCAACTTCGCAACGCCCTCACTGCCAGAGGAGCTTTCACAGGGAAATGAAATTTGCAGGAGCTAGCATCCATTACGAGTCTCACAACTTGCATATCTCAGATTTCTCCTAAAGGTCATATGAGGTCAGATTATTTTCGTGACCTCACCAATATAAGTCAATGGGGAAAAATGAAAACTGCTATTCTGGCGCCGGGAACGATCTCCAACTATCCCATGCACATATAATCTTGATTTCATGCACTCCTTGCAAAGTTTGATGCGTCACTTTTGCAATGTTGACCTTGCGTGACGTCATTTATGACGTCATTAGGGTCATATTAGTTTTTCGTCAATAACTCCCGATCAAATTGAGCTAGCCAGTCATGAAAGCCACCATTGGACCCAGGAAGACCTGCCGAATCGAATGATATGCGACATGACCCCTTTCGACAAATTTCGTGACCTGGGGGCGCTGACCTGACCGTGACCCGAGGTCAATACCCTAAGTTGACCTCACCCAAACAAAAAGTATATCATTCGATGCGCCTGAGTGAGGCGAACACGATGCTGCTAAAATCGTGGCTCTGCGGCCGTTTTTTTTTTGCGAAGTTATTCACCAAAAGCGGAACCGGACCTTGGGGCACTTGGCCTGACCTCAGAGGTCACCAGTTGACCCTAGGACCTTAAAATTGCGTATCAATCTCTGCGTCTCGTAACGGCGCACACCCTCGTTTTTTTCCGCGACGCGCTAGCTCCACCAGGGGGGAGGGGGAGGATCGTACCCGCTCCCCCCCTCGGCCGGCGCGTTTGTAAAAAACCCAATATTAATAGGTCCGGCCGCCCTATAGATCCCGCGCCCCGTAGGGGGGGGGGGGGGGGCCGAAACGGCCCCCCTGTCCTTTTCCGTCGATATCTCCTAAACCGCTAGAGATATCGCCACCAAACTTTCAGGACCCCTCCGGGCATCAATTTTACACATTGTGACCAAAAAAAAAAAAAAAAATCCAGAGGCTATGATAGGTTGGCCACAAATGACGTCAGAATGACGTCATGTTCTGTCATTTTCGACCGAAAAAAGACCTTCGCGAGAAGACCTGTCAGGCCTACAGCTTTGAAGATACAGAAAAATGATCAGACATAAAAGGTGTATAATTGACAGGGCTACCAAACTGCAATCTCGGATTTCTGAGATTTTTCAGTTTTGACCCAAAAAAATCAAAAAAGTATTTTTTTATATATATTAGCCCAAAAAAAAATCCAAAAAGTTTTTTGAGTTTCAAAAAAACGGAATATATGTGATAGTACCTACCGTCTTC